ATTACAGTTTTATATCTTTATGTTTGAAGCCTGAAATGTGGCAAAAGGTCGCAAAGTTCAAGGGGGCCGAATACTTTCGCAAGGCACTGTAAGTCTAACTTCTTCCTACTCCGTTCAAGCATGTACTAGGTATAAGTAAATTGATATTGGATTATTATTGTTGGATATGTGTGAAATTACATGTGTTGACATATCAACTGTTTTACATGCTTGAATGAATAAATCAAATCAAAATCAAAAATAATGAAAGGCACTCATGTTGAAAAGGTAGCAGCTACTATTAATCATTGCTGTGTTAATAGTATAAACTAGTTACCTCACATCATGACTCGCCCTAACTAACAACTCATTGGCTGGTTATCAATCCAGGGCACAGGCCCATGGACCCAGTGGCTCGACGGTCTCAGAGGGCAGAAAGAAAGAAACATATGTTGTTCTATAGTATATTGGCATTTTAAAATCTAAACAACCTTGTCATAAGCAGTGTAAACAATTCATTTTATCTTCTTCATGTTTTTGTGTTGGCATCCCTCAGTGCCTCACACTATTTATTAACCTCTTTTTCTTGTCCATTTTCCTCTAGCTATCTCTGGATTTGGCAAGAAGTTCACCTCTTTGTTCTGAGGTGATAAGATTAAGGTATGTATTTTATTTTTTGTTACTTTCTCTACTACTCTATATACAAAGAAATCATGGGCAAAGTCAGACCTGTACAAGACAGATCGATTATACACTGAGAACAGAATAGAGATGTAATTTTTCTATTGGGGCTTTATTTTATAGCAAAGCTTGTAGCTGCATTTATGTTCAAAATGTCAGTTTGACAGACTAATTTTAATTTACCGCAGTGTCCTGTTTTTACTGGAGTTTAAGACTGTTCATTGTTTATTATCTCCACAAAGGTGAAATGTAGAGTGAGCGTGTTGATCTCATAAATAACAGTTATATTACAGTTTTTAACATAGTCAAAAACATGACTGTACATCTAAGAAGGCAAAAAAGGCAGAGACCATTTTATGCTTTACAGCAGATACAAGGCAGTCAGTGGTTTTGGTCAATGATTCATGTACAGAGAGCTGGAAACATTCTTTCTTTCTTTGGTGAACAAGTGTATCTCAACCATTAGGGGTAAAAATAAATCTCTGCGATGCTGCTAGTTCAAAGTCCACTGGGATGTTAACTGATAGCTACAATGCTGTGTGTTGAGTCCTGTAGGCAGCAGAAAGTGGGCGGCTGTAAGTGGTTTACTCAGAACAGCAGTGTAGTCCTAAAGCAGCATGTCTGTCTCTTGAGTGTTTGTGGGGGTTTTTTCTCTGTCTCTGTTTTCATTTCTCTGGCTGCTTTTTATGTGCAAGATGAAAATGCAACACTGAAAATGACAACATATTGATACTGTGACACACAGTCTGCTTCAAACAGGATGTGTGTTTAAACAGTGGGTTATCACAGCCAAATGCACTGTATGTACACACAACCAGTGCAGTAGACTCCAGACTGTTGATGTGGTCTTGACTGCCTTCAGATTTGATTTATAGGGTGCCATAGCAGTTAGTCCGAAAACCTGGAACTGAGTTAGCATTTTTGCACTTCAGTTCCCTCGCCCTGAGTCAATATGTTTTTTGAATGGGTTTTGGTTGGAAATGAGATCTGTTATTTGTCACAGAACTTATTGTCTGTAATAATCCAAAAGCCTATGGAAAAATCATTCTGGCTTTTTGTTGAGGAAACCAGGGCGATGCTATCTTATGGGTTGGCCTACATCCTTCATCCCTGTAGCACTTTATTGCGACTGGACTTCCTTAAGAAACTGAAAACATTCAAGATTTAAGTTGTGACTTTTTGAAATACTAAAAAAATGAACAAAACTATCTGCTTTGTGCAGCTGTACCTGGGCACAACAATGCTTTGAATTAAATGCCAGCAGCATTTTAATATACTTACAGTGGCAATGCTAATGTTCAGATGCTAAGTAGGCATGACAGTTTACATTTTTACAATCTACATTTAGTGTGGCATCATGCTAACATTTGCTAATTAACACAACACAAAGAATGGCTGAATTTGATGGGAATGTCATTAGTTTTGCAGGTATTAAGTCATAGTACTGGAAAGTAATAATTTTGATGCGATGATGGTGCTGGAGGAAAAGTGAAGGGATTATTGATGTGATTACGCTTCCTCATGAAGGGTACATGACTGTGTATATCAAATTTAATGCCAATCCATCCTGTAGATTTTGGGGTGGACATTTCACTTACAACCATGTGAACCTGATGCCATACACCTCAAATATTTAATTACTGGGCCTGGGCACAGAAAGACATTAGTCTCACATATGTAAAAAATCAAGTTACCACAGCTTATGTTATTTTAGATGACTCAGGACTCAGTGCATTCAGGGGTGATAAATGCCTTATGATTTTGTTCTGCTGCCTTGTAGTGTAAATGTATATACTAGATCTTTCAGATTCTGTCTTTCTTAACATGAAAAAAGAAGTTATATGAACTGACTGAATTTACCAATACATTTTCAGGACTATGTAAATGTTAAATGATGAAGTCACGAGGCCTCATACCAGAAAAACCTGTCAAGTTCCGCCTGCTTTTGTTTTACTAAAAGAGAGAGAGGAAGAAGAGAGGGGAGGGGGAACTGAGCAGAGAACTGAGCATACAGGTGAGTATATACTGGTTTCAGTTCAGCAGCTGTGGATGGTCAACAGGATGAAGACCTGTGGGTTTTCTACAGGTCTTCACCAACCGTCTGCAGGTTTTCATAGGATGTTGATGTTGACCTGACCATTAAAATGAGCTGGTGCAGTAGTTATCTGCATGCTTGATTGTAATAAGAATAGGACCAATTGTAGTTTAATAACACATTCACCTCACAGGGAATTGGGTGGTGTGAGGGTTAAAACATTATACAATTTGGGTCTAATTACCTTGAACAATGAAATGTCGTTGATCTAAGGCATCATCTTTGTTTGGTTTTCAGGCGGCACTTCTACAGTAAATGATTAACCTTCAAGTCAGATGTGTCAAAGCTTTCAGAAAAATCGATTTTCCAAATTCCCAGTTGTTATTATGACTTGGATCTTGACATAAATGCTAATAACAAATTTGAAACTACTACAGTAATTACCATTACAACTGACATGACATGAACACAGGAGAACCTTACAAAGACTAAACTATAGTTACATTGTTGAGGAGAGCATTTTGCTAATTGCCTACCAAAATAATGGTTATTATAGCCATATGCTCTAGTGCTCTGTAATTAAAAGCTTATCCAGAGGGCACACTGGGACACACTGTTCCAATAATGTATCCATCAGACATTAAGAAAATCGTGTTGTCTAAAATGCTGCTCCTTTATCTTGCAGCCAACTAAGACTGGGATCCTCCGAATACTTCACGTCTCTGGCCTACTGACAGAGAGAACAGGCCACTCTCTCTGACAGGCCAGACAGTAAGTTACCTTTAACTTTTCATAAGCGATGTTTTTCACCTGTAGAAAATCACAATGTAAAGTTTTACTATCCAGATTTTGTTTTGTAAATCTGCTTTGTGGATTGTGTTCATCTAACAGGATAATGGTGATTTTATTTAACATGTAGGCTCATGGCTGTCAGTTTTGACCGTGTTATTATTAGCAACTGCACTTGCAGACACCTCAAACCTCAATATGCTGTATTGCTGTAAAATAAAGAATTAAATATGCAGAAGTTAATGTGAAAGGACTATAACATTATTGTAAAAGGAAGAGCTTTATCATACAGTAGTTTCGATCAAACAACACTCAGCCATCCATTATCTATACCGCTTATTCCTGAATAGGGTCGCAGGGGTGCTGGAGCCAACCCCAGCTGACACTAAGCGAGAGGCGGGGTACACCCTGGACTGGTCACCAGTCTATCACAGGGCTGACATGTAGACAAACAACCACACGCACTCAGTCACTCCTACAGGCAATTTAGAGTCACCGCTCTCCCTGTGCCTGCATGTCTTTGGACCCATGCAGGCACAGGGAGAGCATGCAAACTCCTCACAGAAAGGCCCAGGGTTGAACCCAGAACCTTCTTGTTGTGAGGCTAACCACTGCGTCACTGTGCCACTGTGCCACCTAAACAACACTCACTGCAATCATATGTTTTCAGAAAACAGAGCAGCATTAGTGTTACCCTTAAGAAACAAATCTTCCTGTGAGTGCAAGAACACAATTTTAATTCACTTATTTTGTATTCAGAACATTTGTAAGTCTTTTATTCTCCATCTCTGTTTTTGTCATGTGGAGACAAGCTGTCTGTGCTGCCTGCTCCTCCAGCACTGCCTGAAGCCAGTTTTGTTGCTGCCTCATTGTGCTTGCAGCTGCTTCTGAAACTCATTGGCATCTGGATTGTGTGAGCCTGCACTCAGCTCAGCCAGAAACTAATCAGCAAAAATCAGTCTTTTTTTCAAGAGCACAGCAGTGATTTGTGGACTTCTGTCTGATTTTAACTTATTAGACAAAAGTGACAATCAAAGATACAACTAAAAAATCAGGGTGGTATCTCATTTTCTCTCCTGATGAAGCAAAAGACCAAAGCAAAATGCTGCTTAGAAATTAAACTAAACTGCCATCAATGCTAGTCTATAATCACCATTCTACATAAGATGCAGAGAAACAAACTGAGATGTCTTCAGAGGACCTGATTGGTTTCTTTTGTTGTGACCATGATGTCATTACTCACCGGTGCCCTTTAAAATCTAAAAATGTTCAAGATATATTTTGGGTTTCATCTGTATTCTCAGTGATAGCAACATCACAGAAGCCACAGGATTATTTCTGAGATGCGACAAACACCTAAAGACCTCAATACCTAAATATAAACTAGTGAGAGGAACAACACTTAAAGTGAAGCTTTTTTCTTTTTTAAATTATATAATCCAAAACCTAAAAATAGAGGAGAAAGAGAAGTGTGATTGTTTGAAACTATTAATAACTCTTTATAAACAGTTTCAGAAGTAAAAATGCAACATATTCTGTGTTACACTGAAGATGCTTAACATGTCAGGAGGGTTTTCTTCCACCACTGACTCCCACATTCATCTACAATTGGCCCATGTCACTGGAGAGCAGAGTCCATGTCCTGCGAGCCATGTTTTTGGGTTAAGCCATCAACTGTAAAAATGATGGACAGGCTGACAGCTCCCAGAAGTGATGCCACTGCGCCTCGATCGCCCCCTGGTGGCTGGCTGCAGTATGGATCACAAATCCTGCCTCCTCCATGTTAGGGGGTGGGGACATGAGCCAAAAAACCCTCAAATTTCAAATCTGATACATTTTTCCCAGAGGTAATTTTTGTGGTTTTTGGTAGATATTATCACACTGAATCTTTAAATATTTGAAAGTGGTCATTTTTCTGGTAAGTTTGTTTTTAATAAGTTATTTGATTAAATAAAAATGGGTGCATTTTGGTTAATTTGACAGTTTTGATTGGTGGTCCAATGCTGCCACTCCACTTCTGGTTGCTACTGTGCGGAATCTGGTTACAAAAAAGCAAGATGTTAGCCATCATAGTCATGATATTTTGGCTTCACGTTTGCACGGTGGATGGAAGTAGTGACGCCATGTCCATTGTTTATATGTCAGTGGTTTAAGCACAAACAGTATGTGGTTAAGGTCAGTGAAAGATTGTGGAGTTGATTAAATATTTAAAAATTCAAACCAAGACAGCAAACTTTCCCTTATCTTAACCAAGTGCCTTTCATTGCTTAAACAGAAACATAATAATGGTAATCATGCTTTATATATTAAGAGTGGATTATGTAGAGAAGTGAATATAATTTGCAGACATAGTCAACATAAACCTGTATTAGCTAATAAAAAATGTTTTTGCCAGTGCACATTACTTGTATATAATGTAAGTCATTAAATTCCGCTCATTTCATTCCATATGGCTCTGATAAAGGCTGTAGATATGTGCTATTAGAGTTTGAGCTGTAGAAAGAGTAGCAGCAGTACTTGGAAAATCTGTTGAAGTACAGTCTATTGCCTTGGTGCAGTGGGTTTAACCTTTCTGTTGTATGTCAAAGTGTATACAGTGTTGCATATGCTCCATAAATGATTATGTATTATGCCTGGACTGTGTGTTTTTGTGTGCTATGCAACCATGCACTGCCTCATGTGACTGCTGCAGAGAGAACTCTCTCGCCTCCCACACTCCACTCCTGCTGTCAAACATCACTGATTTTTTCTTCTCTTCTTTTGCACGTTCATGCTGCCTTTCTCCCATCTCCTCTTTCTGTCAAGCATCTCACTTTTCATTAACTTTCTCTTTCTGCTTGCATAGTCTTTTTCCTTCTATAATTATAACAATACCTCTGCCATATCTACTTTCATCTTCCTATTAGCAATGTATTGCCAGGTTGTTGGATGAGGTCAAGGCCAGGGCTCTATGTAAATCCATTTCTTTCACACCAACCGGGAAAACATCTGTTTATTGATTTCACTTTGTATATGAGGGCACTGTCTTGTTGACGCAGGTTTCCATGTTCTTTTTGCTACATTGTGTTGTTTCTCTGTCCGCGCCTCACTGTCTCCTTTCTCTGTTCAGTGAGTCATCTATTGTGTATGTATATGGGTCAGTGCTTATTTTCAAGCATACTTTGTGTGTGTCATTGTGTGTGGGTTATGTTGCAGCTGGGTGACAAATAAATATATCGCATGTTTGGAGCACTTAATCTGAGTCAGGTGCAGTGGGAAAGAGAACCAGGAGAAAATGGTTGCCAGAAGATGCATATATACATTCTGGAAAGTGGACCTACCAGGAAACCAGCAAATGTGGCTATAGATTCCCAAAGTCTGATGTTTTATTTGGAAAAGACTGAATAAGCACATTGTTTGACATACATATTCTCCCTTTAAGATTATTTATAGCTACTTCTGATGCATGTACTGATGCAAAAATTTATATAAAAAATTTAAAAATTACAAAATAGGGTGGATCAGTTTAGGCTATTTAAGGTTAATCTCACTACATCCTGAATGCTGAACCCTGTCAAGCATCTCACTCTTCATTCATTTTCTCGCTCAGAGAGAAAGTGCAGAATATTTGCATTTAAATGTAATTTGTAGAAACACTCAAGGCGAAGCTATGGCATATTTGAGATACATGGGTGTTTTGCATTGGGACTGTTTACTGCAGTGTCTATATATAGAGAAATATGCTCTGATTCCATTTGCCCTGTTAAACAGAGGTAGGAAGGGACTTATAACCAAAAGTATGACTGAAAAGACAGAGTACAGGTCCCAGTTTGCAGAAATATGCAACGCTGTTAGTTTTTACAATAAGAGGACTCTGCCTCAGAGCTGTGAAGCAATGTGAAGTGCCAGATCATAAAGTGACTTCACTTCTGTGTTATTTGAGGCAGTAATATGCATCCTTTCCATTATGTTGACATGTGCTGTGTCAGCACAAGCTGACATGATGGGGAATATCACTTGCCTTGTTCTCCTGCTGTCTGGTTATAACTGGTTCCTGCTGGTTCATGCTGGAAATCCTGACTAAAATCATAGGACAAGTTTGTAAAAGAACCACTTGGATCTTTTTTAATTTAATGGTCATTTTAGATTAGTTTGTCTTTGCTGCCACAGGATTCTCACACAATTTTCCTGACTAGAAAAGTTGTTTTCACCCTCATTTTTGTTTCCACTATCATAGTTCGTTACAGTTGGGCATAGATAGATCTGAGGGTAGAATTTTCCTGTAACATAAATGAAAACACAGGAAGGATTTTTTTAAAAAAAAGATACCAAACATTTTGCTTAGAAAAGGTTCTTTGTTAGGTTGCAATGCTAAATTTTGACAAGGTGATTAGCTTTGTTCAGCAAGGGCCCTTCACCGAACCAATATGCTGTGAATGTAACAGTGAATAAAAATAACACAGTTTATATAAACCTTTTAACCAAAACTTGATTTAAATATGTTCAGTTTTTACTTTAGGCACCAGAAATCCAGTTGCCTTATACTGACTTGACAAACATGTCATGAGCTGGATAAAAGCCCTCATATATACTGTAGCTCAGCAGTACATTTCTGAGGGTTATCCACCATCTAGTGACCAGCTTCATTTAACATCATTACAGCTCTATACAGCAGTCACCTCCATGTGAATAGAAAGGCTTCTTATGTGCCCTGCCATTCAAAAAAGGACTGATTTATAGTTTGTGTTGACATCTATTGAATAGGTATACAGTAGACTCAGTAGCTTTAAATGGTTGGTGCACATAAACTTTGTTACAATAGAGATATTCTATGTATGGGGATTTGTTTAGTTCTATTTAGTCTTTTAGTAGGTATATACTGACAGTCTGTCAGGCAGTCACCAGAGAGTAAAGTCGGCCAGGACAGCATTATTGTTCGTTTATAGTTATTAAGTTGAACCTTTTCTCTGTTTTACTGTTTACCATGACTTGCATTTATTTTGATTGTTGAAGCTGGAATTATGCAGCTCTGAGTTGTCCCCTGACCCTGCCATTGCATGATGCCAGAATCCTCAGAATCAGAGGAGGAATCCTGTTTAAAAGAAGGTTAGTAGTCGAGGGACACTGTGTGTAGTGTAGAAAAGGGAAATTGTGACCTGGCCTTCCTCACCCGTGCTGCTCAAATGTATTTATTTATTTTAACAAATTTATGTTCTTTTGTTTCGTTGTGTTTTTTCACAGATCATTCTCAGCCAACATCCATCTTCAGAAGAGCTACCCTTGTTCATGGAGCATCCCCAGCCAAAGCCTCCAAACCAAATTTCTGCAGATCCCCTAGAAGCAACCTGTAGCAGTTAAACACATCTGCACCCATCCATTATAAAAGAGCAACTGGTGGCCAAAAATAACAGCAAAATTCAGAGACATGAATTAGTATTAATCTTTCACCATGCCAGTTGAAGGAGCTCATGGTCATTGAAGACAAGTTGAACCAATCTAGTGACGAGTGATGCTATTCTACTCTCATATGCAGATATTGCCATCATTTATATGAGAGCTGCTTTTTCCTGCTAACAACCCATAGGAAATAGTAGTTTTGCCACAGGCATAGTGGCATGCTAGGTTCCTTGGTTTCACAGTCCTGTGCCCAAATGAGGAATAACAGAAACAAATCAGCCTCTCTCCTCTTTTCCATCTCTTCTCATATAAAAAAGATTGGGGGGAAATGGAATAAAATGCATTGAAGTACTGCAGGTTTTTCTGGTACTAAAGACCTCTTGTTACATCTCCTGTTGAGACGATAATGGAGCAATGGACATGTCCCTTTGAATGAAGACAATTACATTAATATAGCCGACATGGAGAACACAGGTGTTGGCGTGTTTCTTTCCGTGGTTTGCTGTTTCTATCTACATTCCAGATTGGAACTGTTAAAACCTTTTGCTTCTCCCCCTCCTCACCTGTGTGATTGCTGAGTCTTCTTTTTTTTGTAATCCCATCCAATGATCCTCAACTCATGTCTTCAAGGAGTGTATATTGGATTAAGAAAAAAATCATAGGAATTTGGAATGCATGAAACTTTATATCCAAGACCTTACACTGTTCATCATTACTTAACAGAGGCCATAAAGACAATGGGAAACACATCTAAACTAGACGACGTAAATAATAAAGAAGAGATATTACTGAAGCAGCACACAGGAACATCACTAGAGGAATAAGAGGAGTCTTTTTTGGTTTTAGGGAAAGCTTTCCATTAGTATTTGGAAAGAAACCGTATGTGTTTGGGTTGTTTTTCTAACATTACAAAGCAACATTTGCCTGTAGTGCTTGTGGCAATAGGGTTTCTTCATTTGGCTCTCAGATATTTTGCATGTTGTTAAAGGTGATGGTTCATTTGTTGTTATCTTTAATTTTTTTATAATTGAGTTATGTGATTTGCCTGGTGTTTATGTTGCGGGTTACCAATATCGCCTTAATCATTTTAAATGTTTTATTTTGAAGTGGCATTTTTATGACATCCTGTAAACACATACTGTATTTTCACTACACCCTTTTTTACGTAGTAATATCAGCTGGAACACTGGCCACAGTGAGATTAATTTATATTTTTTAAATTAACTTTTTTTTAAATAATTGTGATATTGTTTTTTATTTATTTATGTTTTATAGTGTTTTGTTACCTTCATCAAGCCCCATGTCAATTTTCTGACTTTTTTATTCACAATAATTATAAAAGCAATAGAGTAAATGGTAAGAAAGTAAAGAGCACAATCTTGTGTAATTTTAAAAGCTGATGGAACAGAAACGTGTTGCCTCCATCTGCTTAACTTACCACTGATGTACTGCTCAAACCTGACTTTAAACATGCCACAAAATGTACTCCAATATTTTATAACAGCTGTACTAATAGGTCAGCGAGCAGCAGCTCACCTATAAACCATAGCTTTGGTACCACCAATATCATCCCCTCGTACCAAAAATGAGACATCAGTGTTGTAAATCATCCAGTCAGTGGCTCAGAGTGTGATCTGAAAGCACTGCAGGGCAGCAGAGAGGCACTGGAAAGCAGACCAGTCACACATTACCGCAGAACTGGACTTGGCATCGTCACCGGTGGGGGTTTGGGTTTTAATGTGATTCTTCTGACCCTCCGAGATGGACGTTCATTGGGACTGCGAAGAGCTCCTTACACATCAGTGTGTATCAGCATGTGTCTTCACTTTTTCAAATGTGCACAGCACACGTGAAAGCACACTTGAGGATGGTGTCAAAAAAGAAGAAAAATAGCATCCATGTGACTGAGGAACCAAAAATAACACACGTGGTTGTGTCACAAAGTCACTCACCTTTTTAAACTTTTTTTTCTATCATGTTGGCGTCCAAACCTGTAACCCAGCCCCCAGAAACCTCTCTCTCAGACTGTCAGTTGTCATGGAAACTTCTCAGGTCAGTGGTCTCCCTGCTGTTGCTCCTGCAGTGCACTGTGGGATCTGCGGTTTGATACTCAAAACGCACTCTGTCAGGCCAAACATTGCGAGGCCTTCAGCAAAACCAACGAACCAACTTCTGCTGTATATTGTCTGTGTGAACGCTCGCTGGGAACCTTCGCATGCCACCCGGCGCAGAAAACCTCAAAGTCACCTCTATATTGTTCTGTTCCTAATGTTTATATGTATGTGTGTGGGAGTTCTGTATGTGTGTATTTAATGACCATCATCCAACGTGGAAAAGAAAAGAAAAAAAGGCAAACGTGAGTTCAAATACAACAAATATGGTAGGCAAAAGCAGCGACCTCTCATCTCTAGTCGTTCTATGCAATGAATCACATTTGAAAAAAACTGAGAAAATGAAACACAAATGTGGAAAAAGTTACACAAACCACAGTTTGTCATTTTAATGTCAAGATTGCTTTGTTTTGGCATTCCACAAAGATCAAAATAAGGAGATTCTGTGAAGTTGTTTGTGTATAATATAGGCTATAGGAAATAATAAGAGGGGTTTTGTATTGTGTTAAACAGGCATGTTCAGAGTCCTCTTTCCTTTTAAATTGTGAATTTCTGCAGCCAGATGGTCTGTCGCTAAAGGTGTGTTCATGGCAGCAGGGAAATGGTAGCTTCATGGTCTCAGAGCTGAAATGACAAATGAAATATTTCATGAAGCAGAAATTCTTCACAATACTTATACTAAGAATTATAACAATAAGTTGTTATACATTTGTTTTATTACCATTAAAAATTATCAGCATATAAAAATAAGCATGTATAAATCCCACAAAAGTAGTAGCCCCAGATCCCCGTTGTCTTGAATGCATTCAAACTGCTGTCAGCCATCTTGTTTTGTTTTGCACCTGGGTACACAGAAAAGTTGTTCATAGATTTATAGAGAGATAAATATAGGTGTATGAATATAGACTATATATAAAAGAAACAGATTTCAGTATATTACCTAATATGGTTGGTATCTACTCAGGGGTGAAGAACAAAAGCTCCTCTTGTTTGTTTTTGTTTTTCAGGCTTTTATCAATGACCATACCCCAACATTTATACTAACTAGCTACCCAAATGCGCACTATTTAATGTTGTTGCAGAGAAAGAAGCAGTAAGATTGTTTTGGTGAAACATAAAGCCAGTTTAAAAGAAATATATACATATTAAATATAATAATATACAATTTATAGATTATATTTAACTAAAAATAACAGTTTTGCGCACTACTCAAGCCATTCCTAAATTAACTGGTATGACAGTGAGTTTGTGACCGTGTGTCTGAGTGTTAAACAGTGCACTGCCATGGTACACTATGAGATAAAATCTATAACCTAAATACACTGTGGAACATAAGTTTATGTACCTCAGAAACAAATCATTTAACTGCAAATGTACCATTTGTCTTTTTTTAAGTTACCAGTTGGTAGCAGCATGCTGTGACAAGACAATTATAAAGACACTATTCATGAAAATTCAGATTTAAAAAGAGTTGGATTCCCAGCTGCTTTGCAGTCTCTACACTTTATTTAAGCATGGCCTAATAAGTCATTGAAACTGTAATAGAAGTAAATATATATTTTGTGAAACATTGATCAGATGATTTATCTATGTAAGAATTTATTTTCTCATACAGAGAGGGACTAGGAAGCTATTGTAGTGGGGGTTTAAGAAAGAAGAGCCATTTGGGTTTGAAATCTTTAAATATATTTAGTGAGAAATGATCTTTAAACAGATGTTATCTATCATTGGATTTGTACACAACCATAAAAATCTGATTGTTGAAAATCAGAATATGAAAACCTTTTTTTTTTTTTTACTGAGCTTATGTTTTTCAGCCTGAGAAATATGTCATTATGTTTATCTTAAAAAAACTGATTGGTGGATGGTTAAAAAGTAATTTTCAGATTTTTTTTGTGCAAGAAAGGCCTATGTGTTATCAGCTAATTAGTTATAAATTTTAGAAAAATCCTTTAAAAATCTACTTCCATCATTTTTCTCCAACCTAGTTTATGTAACATCCTTTTTTTTCTTTTCTTTGGTCTCTCTGGAGTTAAATTCAGATGCAGGATTAAGACTCTATTTATTTTGGTTCTGTTTGGATCTGATCATTCATCTTGTGTTACACATCTGGTGCCATTGGCCCTAACAAATATCAAATATTTTCCTCTGCGCTGTTGCCAAGTGCTTGCTTAAGGGGGATTTGTTGGGTTTTTCCTCTGTAATAATAATAATAGTATAGTCTAGACCTTACTTTGTAAAGTGTCCTGAGACGCCTTTTGTTTTGATTTGGCGCTATACAAATAAAATTGAATCGAATTTAATCGAATTTCACTGGTACACCGCCACCAGATCAGTGACTTCACCACAAAAGTGTCAAAGTAGAACAAACAGACTAATATCAGAGAATTTAAAGTTACCCAAACTAATATCAGCTTCCTCTGTAGTACGTCTTATGTTTTTGGAAAATTGTGAAAAATAAAATGTTCAGTAAACTGTTCCTCAATCACTTTTGCCTCAGGAAAGCACACATTGCAATGGAGATGTTCAAAATACAATAGAAAATAATGGTTGGATTTATGCAGGGGCAATAAATCGAATTTTCAACACTTTACGGCACAGATGTGATCTTCTCATGGCTGTTGTTTAACCAGAGAGATTCAGTAATGTTTCAATGGCAAGCCAGGAACACATAAATAACCAGATCTGTGTCAAAATGTGTTAAAAATGTCACAATCTTTTGCTCCGGTGTGAATACAGCCACTAAAGGTGACTTAAATATGCACAGCAGCAAGGGCTTTTATACTACAATACTGGTCACTGAAGAAAGCCATCCTGTTACTGCCCTCTAGCCAGTCGTGGTCTACGTCTATACTCTGCATGGTGTCTGTCTATATCCAAGAACACAACAGACTTCAGTTCAGACCACAGCAATCACCAGTAGGCACGATCATCAAACCACATCCCGGTTTTTCACAGGTGTTTCAAGCACAAAACTAAGACAACAATAAAAGATCAAGCTTAAAGACATCTGCAAATTTTCAAGGGAATCATTTCTTTAAGCCCCACAAAAACTAGTTTTTATGAATGAAAAAAAATCGACATTTTCTTAATATTAGGAGCTGAAATAGACACAAGTACAATATTCTTTCAAATTACATTTTGGAACAAAACTCCTGACACAAAGGGTCAGACAGACATACAGCCAAGAGGTGGCTGCTTCCACCAGATGTCTGTTTAAAAGAAGCAAAATCTCAAAGGCTTGACTTTTCTTGAATCCAACATCAAGAGTCTCAGCAATAAGGTTATAATTGTGCCATCGGACAATCCAGTATTTGACCCTTTGTGGCACTGATCTGGTATCAGAATTAAGTGTTTTCCATTTGTCATACCTGTGAAGTCTGAAACGTTTTTCTGACTGTACAGCCATGAAAAGGACAAAAGACAAAGGTTAAACACCTTTTATTTGAGGAACCTATCTTAAATGCAGCTTAAAACACTTTTGGGAAACCTGGACTGTGTCTGTTTGTGTGTGTGTGTGTGTGTGTGTGTTCAAAACCAAAAAGGTAACATACTGGGTTTGTAGAGTGTAGTACTTGTCACCACTGCTCCTGCTGTTGGTCATGCAGACAGTAAACATATAGCAAGACCTGAGCCTAAGAAATATGTTAGAACTCATTATATATAGTAAATGTTTTCTTAGGTGAGAGGTTGTAAAAAGAGCACGAATGCTGAAACAAACAAATCCATAAGAGAAAGCTATCTAGTCCATCTTTTACTCACTGAAAAACCATCAGGGAGTGTTATTCATCTTTCACCTGTAATGAATCATCAAAATAAGATTACAAGTGCATGACCCGGACACCTCCTCCCACCCATCTTAACCCCTCCCTCCATCCCTCGACCTTGACCTCACGGGCTGCCATTTTTTTCTTGGTGTATATACCAGACGAGAACCAACCAGTCCGATTTACGACCACATGTAAATGCCGAGAAGGACATGTTCTGTACAACATGTAAATCTCAAATATGCTAATATACCACAGCACACACTCACAGGCAAACACACACATGCACAGGGGCATGAGAGAGGTTTTTGCACACTACATGGCAACACAAGCCGGTGTGTATGCAAGCCTTTCCTGCCCAAACCTGTGCTCATTGTGTATAAAAACAACAAATCCTACATAACAAGCAAGAACAGTTGTTGATTTGAATAATAAATAAAACTGCATTGTGTATGTATGTGGCTGGCTCGTGCAGGCTGTTTAAAAATCATTGTATTTGGATATAAAAATGAAAATGAAATAAAAACATTGGTCTGTGTAGAATTTCTATACATGTTGTGTTTGTAAAATGAGATTACATCAAAAGCAGAAAAGGGAAAAATATTCTGGCTTCCATGTAATTTTTGGGGTGGACAGATAATTTTTTGAAAGATGGTGCAAGAGAGTGAATTGGGCAATGGAAATGTGTAAAAAAAAATCATAAAGTAACCCAACTGACTGATGAAAGGAGGGCGAAAATAAAACAGAAAAGGGTCAAGAGTCTAAAGATGACTACAAAGTGTTCCATTCACTGTTGTAAGTGCAATGAACTAAACTTCTTGTTTCCCCATTGTAAAACCTTGTGTATGTTTCTGTGTATTCCTCCTGTAAATGGGTGTAGTAGACCTGGTGCATCATGCCATGTAATGTGATGAATGACAAATTATGACCTTACAATACATTTCAATCAGGAAAAATAAATAAAAGACAAATACATAAAAACAAAACTTGTGTAAGCTCTTATTTCGTCTGTTTGCTGATATCCCCTGATTTTTTCTGTTGCACCAACATAAAGCTTACATTTGTTTCTGAGTGAAATGTCCTGACACCTATTGGAAGGGTTGCAATGCACGTCCTCCTTAGAGTGCCTATAATAATAATTTAGTGCCAGCCGAGTGGAGAGGGTTTTGTGTGATAGAGTGTAAAGTCAAACCAAGTGCACAGATCACCTGACACACATGAATCACGTTAAGATTTCGTGCGAGGTTTTGAGAAGATTATCTTGCTCTGAGATCCAAAAAATGCATGGTGCGTTTAATGACAGGTGGAAAACCTGGACGACTTTTTTCAGAGAGAAAATTGCTCGTCACCTCAAATGAACTTTAACTAAATACGTATTTTACCGTGAAATATTCCGATCGATCGCGTATCTAACGATCTGTAAACACGTTTTAAAGAACTGCACACACAAACCGTTTTTACACATTTGTAAATCAGGAATTTATTTGTAGATTACTGAATACCCAGTTGTGGTCATTATGCTACACACACAAATCGGTGTTCTACAAATGTGTAACCTTGATTATATTTGTAA